CAGCTCAGATTTTTTTTTTTTTTTTTTTTTTTTAGGAGATCAGGATTTATTCTATAGCTCCTCTGCAGACTTTTCTCTCTAAAGGATGCTCCTTCTCCAAACATCCATGAGAAAATGACTCACAAAGCGCTTTGAACGTGCACGTGGTGCATTTGGCACAGGGAATAATCACCTTCTCTCCGTTTGCTCCACAGGAGCAAGCCAACAGTACCCAGGTTTTTTTTCTAGGAGGTAGATTATCCAGTGTTGTAGTGATTTCCCAGGCAGTGCAATTGCTAGTGAACACCCTCAGCACAAAGCAGGGCAATTTTGAGTGCTCTCACCTACCCCCAGGCTGAGCCACTGTGCTCTTCCCTCTTCCAAAAGTGAGGGCACTGGCAGGGAAGTCGGTTTTGCTGGAATTGGACAAATGCAGGTGGTAACAAAAGCTAATTATATAACTGTGTGAATGCAAGCATTTTCCATTGATCCTAATCTGTTTGGGAGCAAGCAGCACCTGGGAGGAAACATTTTTCCCATGAAAATGGAAGTTTGGGGGAGCTCAGCACATGATCTTGTCTCGGGGTTCTTTTTTATGTTGAATTTGAGGATAAAAAAGGGGAGATAAGAGCTGGATAAGGACTAAAAAAAAGTGATACCACAGATGAAATCATGCAAGCTTTTTTGTCTACAGGAAAATAATCTAAAATACATCCCTGGAAGTGCTCAAGGCCAGGTTGGACGGGGCTTGGAGCAACCTAGGCTAGTGGAAAGTGTCCCTGCCCAGGGCAGGTGGTTGGAATGAGATGATCTTTAAGATGCCTTCCAACACAATCCATCCTGGGACTCTGTGAAATTTTGCTTACAAAGAAGACTGCTGTGAACTTCTGGCTTTCTATGTTTCATGTTCAGGGGTTGCAGCTCCCCAGTGCTCCAAGGCCTTGCTGAAATGATTTGTGTTACAGCAGTAAAAAAAAATAATTGCATGTGTGTAAATTTGTTAAACGAGAGCTAAAGGTGAACAGAAAGCAGGAGCTGGGTCTCAGGGCAGGGTAACAGGAGTGTGGTTGTACCTCTGAAAATGAAAAACACTTGTTTAGGAAAAGCTCTTCTGCCAGTGCTGGCTGTAAATGTCCCGTGGTGCTGCTTCAACAAGTCATGTTTACTGGAGTGTCCCCTCTTGTATTTGCTGTGTGCAGCACCCAGTGTTTTATGGTTACCAGCTCTGCCTTGGCAAGGGCTGTATTTTCAGTATACAGAGTGTTGTGGGAGGTCTCTATTTTAGAAGCTGATCAAATGGGTGTCACCAGGAGCCTCTGTAGGCTCGGGGTTAGCGCTGGTTGGAGACAGTGGCCAACTCAGCCCCTATTTCAGCAGCTCTAGGACATTTTGTTTCAGTCCTGGTTGCTCCATCTGCTTGCAGATCTCAAACCACCCTTTCTGTGCCTTCTGACAAAATAACGTGGAGCTCCATTAGAATATAAAAACCCAGTGAAAGGAGAGCAGTGGGATCCTGGCTGTGAATTCATGCACAGGACACAACCCCCCCGTGGTGCATCAGTGCAGTGAACACTGAGCACAGTGGGCTCCTTGGTTCTGTCACCTGGCAACGTGAGGCTGCCTCGCTTTTGGGGGAAGGTGCTGACATTTTTCGTAGGATAATTGGCTGATGTCTGCTTTGCCAGAACATAATAATGATGGAAAAGTTAATTTTTTTATTATTTCTTTGCTAGGGGAAGGAGGTAAAGGATGGCTTCAGTTCCCTCGGTCTGGGATATAAATTTGCTGTTGACTTTAAGAGAAGAAGAATTTTGGGGTGCAGAGGTAGAAATTCAGAATTAGACCTTTTTAACCCTTTTATCACAGAAATTTACTTTTTCTTTTGATGCACCATTATGCTTAATGACTGTTTTTTAAACATATCCCCCTGTTAGCACCTGTTTCTCATGCTGGAAGGAGGAGTGTAACCACCTGAATGGGAGCATAAAAACACAGGTACAAGACAGCTCTGCCTCCTGCTGTTTAAATCCACGGTGTTTTTAACTTTGATGTGTTTGGGGGTTGTGTCATGTCCATCAGGGAGATGGAGCAAACCCTTAATGGTATTAAGTTTATTAGAATAACTCAAAATGCATTAGAATCATGGAGTCATTAGGGTTGGGAAAGACCTCCAAGATCATTAAGTCCAACCGTCAAGCAAATACCAATCATTCCCACGTAGAGATCAGGAGCACAAGGGGTGACAGCAAATTTGTTGTTACCTCTTCTAAACTGTCCCGTTTTGAACTGCACAGAGCAAGGACAGAGGTGACCAGCACTTCAAAATCCCTGCCTGTGATCAGCCTCATCCTACAGGTACATCACAGTGTATTAAGTGATATTAATGTGATTGGACTGGGATATTTATGTGTGTATTTGCACAGCTCAGCCCATTGACTCGGGACAGGTGGACACCCCCGAAGAGCACAGGACACCACCCACCCAAAGGAAGATGTCAATACTTATAAAGAAAGGAGTCTTTTTACATTTTCCTGAAAACTGTAAGTTATTTTTTTATTAAGATGTGGAATTTGCTTTCCCTGGAAGGTGTTGGAGAGCTCTTTGCAGCCTGGAGGCTGCAGCCCTTTGGGAAGCCAAAGCCTCTGCAGAGGCAATTCCAGCGTCACTCTGCCCTTGCAGGATCACGGCATTTCCTCCAATTGGATCATTCTCCCATTTCCACGGTGAAAGAATGTCTTTAAACTGGTTTCCCAAATGAACTTGATGTTGGTGTTTCGAAAAGGCTGAGGCTGGGACACATCCAAACCAATGCACTTTAAAATGGGGTAAAATAAATGTTGTTTAATGGTGGCACATTGTGAGGTCAGGACCCTCAGAGATCACAGATCAAGAAGTGGGGGGTGCCCTCCTTGCATCCTCAGAGCCAAATGTGCAGTAATAAATATTAAATGATGTTTCTAGCTAGAAGATGATCTGTATGCCACAGGTGTATTTCATGCATTCCAGACAGAGAGGTAAATTAGCATCCCATGGAGATATTTTATTTATGCTTTCTCATTTCCAAAGTTGAGAAACACAAACCTGAAACTCAGAAACACAGAACTTAATACAGGTTTTAATGTCATTTCGCTAGAATTTAATAATTTAAGATGAAAATAGAAAACAAATAGTCCTTGAACTTATGATGGATTGGGACTGAAAATCTGCAGGGTTTTTTAGCATCCACTGAAGACCAGACAACTAGAAATGCCAGGAGAATTTTTCAAGTTTCATGTTGCAGAGAAGTGAGGAAAACCTTCATTGGATGTGAATCTTTTCTTAGATTTTGGGTTCATTGCAGCCCAATTAATGTCCTCAGTGGGTTTAACCTGCTTTACCATGTTGCACTTGAGAGCAAAATACATAAACACACCCGGGTTTGGCATCCACTGTTTATGGTCTTATTTGAAAAGACATCTCTGTGTGTAATAAATTCAGATGGCCATAGTATCCATCCCTAGATTTCAGGGAAATCCTGTGGAGTATCATTGCCTGATCACAACATCTGGCCTCAGCTTGGAGCCTTGTAGTGCTCCAGTTACTGCAAGTATTTTTACACACAGTTTTGCTCACCTGCGTGTTTGGGGAGGGGATCTTGGTTTGCTTGTTTGTATTTTGGGAGATGTTGGTGTTTAAACCATCTGGGGGCAACAACAGGACAGAGACATCATTGACCACACTTTAACCTATTCCACTAATCCTATCCACTGGGAGGAGTGCTCAGGGCCAGGGTGAGCCACCTGGTGTGGTGGAAGATGTCCCTGCCCATGGCAGGGGAGTGGCATTAGATGGTCTTTAAGGTCCCTTCCAACCCAAACCATTCCATGATTCTATAGTATGGAGGGTGTTTAAGGGATTTCTTGCTGTCACTGAAAGCTGTTGCTTGTGTTTGGGAGTGGATAATGTCACTGGGAATGCTGCTGGAAAGGGCACTGGCAGCTCAGGAGAGGAATGCCAGAGAAATAAAATCCTTGGATGGCAGCAGGTACAAGGGAAGGGGGTTCTTGGAGGAAGGAGAAATGACAGCTGGGGTTCCTAAATCACTTCTTTGGAGGGAGAGGCTCTCCCTGGCTGTGGGAATAGCCATGGTGGGCTGGATGAGAGTGGGGCTGGCAGGCAGACAGGCTGCTCCATGGGGCTCCTGGTCCCAAAAGCTTGCAGGTGCTACTTTAACACCCTCAGCTGTGGTACTTGGGTTCTTTTTCTCCTTCTTAGGACCCCAGATTTGAAGACCCCAGATTTGGAGACTCACAGAACCATCTCTTTAATACTGCAGTTCTCTTGCACAGAGGACCTTTGTGCCTCCAGGTTCCATGGGCTAATGCAGAGGTTTTCCTTGGCTGCAGAGAAAAGGCAAGGCTGGAGCTCAGCTGGCCTCCCATTGTTTGCAGGTGGCTTGTTTTCCAGTATCTCACTGGAACTGGAGCATGCACACATCTGCCCACTCTGTCCTGATACAAATTTCCCTTTCCAGTGAAGCTCTTTGGATTCCCAGTCCAAGGTGTACAAGTTGCTGGGAGGCTGGGCCAGCACTGATGGCACTGAATGGAGATTACTTGGAAACTGTTGAACCAGTGGTCATCTGGAATCCATTTCATTGCTGCCAGGGAGAGGGAGAACAAAGTGCTCCAATTAACTGCTGCTCATTTGCAACCCTGTCAGTTAATTAGCTGAAGACCAACCAGATGGGGAAGGATTTATCACACAGCTTCCAGGGGCCCAGGCACTGCTTGCTGTCCAGTTTCAAGCACTTGGGATTTTTAATTTTTCCCTTTTTCCAGCAGGCTGAATACAGGAGGGGAAGGTGGGCTCCTAATTCTTTGTTCCTTTATGAGAAGGCTTAGGTGCTCCTTAGGCTTCAGTTTCCAGCACACTGATTGGAACCCAGGTGATTTTTGTCACCTCAAACATTTTTGTCTCCCATCAAAGATCCAGCTCTGCTCTGTATCATGACAGATGTGAAGTGGGAATGAAGTCAAGCCTTCAGGTGCATTTGCTGTGGAATTTATGTCTCCCAGGCAGCAGCTGCCCACTGCCCTGGTGATCTTGGAACCAAGGGGACAGAGGCAAGGAGACAAGGCCTTCCTTCCATAGGGCTTTCCAGGGAATCTCTGTCATACAGGTGAGCAGGGTGAGAGGTGTGGAGCTGCCCAGCAGCACCAGGGAGGGATTTGGGGATTGCAGATCGAGCCTTGAGTAAGGACCTGGAAATCTAAGCCTCCTCTTTCCTACTCCAGCACAGCTACAAGAATCTTGGAGATATCTTATCCTGGACTGTGAGTGCACACAGGTGAGTCCATGTCATAATTTGTGATTATGATTATACGTGAATCAAACGGCCACGTTTGGCACTGTCACCATTCGCATCTGCACATTTTCCTCCAGTCGCTGAATTTTTCAGAGAACTCTGTCTGCTGCAACCAGAGCTGGTGCCCTGCTTCCCCAGCCACTTGTCTTTGCATCCCTGAGCTCAGGCTCCTCCACGATTTCTGCCTTCCTCTGACATTTCTTTTATTGCTCTCTCGTGCACCGGCTCACACGAACACATGTTAGAACAGCAACATCTTTTTGTAGCACCGGTTTTAATTAGTCTGCACCTTCCCCTGGGACGGCTGTTTGCTCTAAAGCTTTCTGCAGGTGCCTGCTTTGTGCTCTGTGACTCACCACATTACCTGCAGGTGACACAATGCAGGAGCTCCTGGTGGTTGTTGCTGTTTAGGTGACTCCCCCAGTCCTCCCCAGCGTGCAGAATTCTTTGATCTTGGCTGATGAAAATTACTGGCAATGTGGAAAGAATATTTTTAATGATGAGGGTAGGGAAAGATGAACGTGGGCACTTTCAAAGCTCCTTCTGTGATTTTGGTTTGAAGGGAAACCAGTGTCTGAGTCCCAGTGAAGGCTCTCAAGAACTCTTTGTTTCAAAATATGTTAAGAACAGAAATGGAGGAAGGAGTTTATAAAGGTAAATAAAGCAATAGATGATACAGTGCAAGGAAGTAATTTTATCAATGTTTTGCTGTACTTACAATGACTAAACACAACAGTAATTGGCAATGAAGTTGTATTACAGAATCAAAGAATGGGAAGGGACCACAAGGATCATCGAGTCCAACCCTCAGACCTCCACAGGCCCATCCCCAAGAGTCACACCCTGTGCCTGAGAACATCATCCAAACACTCCCTGAGCTCTCTCAGCCTTGGGGCTGTGCCCACTGCCCTGGGGAGCCTGTTCAGTGCCAACCACCCTCTGGGGGAAGAACCTTGTTCTAATATTCAACCCCAACCTGCCCTGACAAACTCCAGTTATGCAGATCCTCTTTCTGAATCTGCCACACCACACTTTCCTATCATCAGACCCCCGTACAGAGCCTTTGATAACTTCACAGTTTCCTGTGTTTAGCTGGTAGGCTCCATAAACCTTGACTAATTATTTTTACATCCTACATCTTCTCATTACAGCACATTTGCCTGAACCTCTGTGCCATGCTGTTCACAGCAAGTTTTGTGAAACATATCAGAGCATCAGCAGTTTTGCTTCTCCAAGTTGTGGAAAACATAAAACCTGGTAATTCTTTCTCAGTTTGCTTCCTAACACCCGAGATCTTGGCTTTGTTTATGTGAGCTGCATCTTGGCCCACTTCTGTTTGTGTGCTTGTAGCTGATAAATTAGCTGTAATTAAAGTATTTATTATAACTGACCATTTACCCCAATTCTGTGTAGAATCACAGAGGGTTGGAAGGGGCCTTAAAGCCCATCCAGTCTCACTCCCTGCCACGGGCAGGGACACCTTCCACTAGCCCAGGGTGCTCCAAGCCCCATCCAACCTGGCCTTGGACACTTCCAGGGATCCAGGGGCAGCCACAGCTTCTCTGGGCACCCTGTGCCAGGGCCTGCCCACCCTCCCAGCCAGGAATTCCTTCCCAATATCCCATCCAAACATCATGATGCAATATACTCTAATATTTTCTTATGCCAAATTCCTATGGATTTCAGCAGGATTTCAGAATAAATTAGATGAGGGTATAATTTGTGTATGGGAATGTCTGCACTGGACCAGCAGACCAGTGAGAATATGGGAAGATCAGAGCTGAATTGTTTCTAAAAGAGCTTGGGTTGTTTCTGAAACAGAGCACCAGTGGTCAGTATTGCATGTTCCATTGAATTATTGTCTTCATGAAGATTAATAGTGGTCTGAGGCCCTAAGCAATAGTGCAATCCTGGTTTATTTTAGCTTTAATTCATAATTTACTCTTCCCTTCTTGCCTGGTGGTGTCGAGTGTCCTGCTCTGTTCTCTTGTTACGTCCGTGAAAAACGGATGTGAAGCCAAAAGAGGAGATTAGAATTTGAGTCCTCCCTGCTGCTCCTCTCAGCAATATTGATCACTTCAATTATTGCCCTTTCAGGAATGAAGCCTGAAAAGGCACAGAGCAGTGGCAGCAACAGCCAAGAGGCAGAAATGCCTGTCCCTGGTGCCAGGAGCAGGGCTTTGGTCCTCCCCTCCTTGCAGGAGGAGGAAACACTCAACCCTTCATCCAAGTGCTCGGTGAATGCGTGATGGTCCCACATCAAGCATCCCTCAAAAAAGCATTTTGTTCTTGGATGTCTCCTGATTTCCTTGTGATTTACTGCATTTCTATTTCTGCCATCCGTGACCCGTGAGTGTGGATTGAGCAGCTGCCTGAGCAAGTGCTGCTTTTGTCTGAGGCACTCAAAGACTCGGGAAAAGTCTGCAAAAAACTCTTGCTTTTTAAGACACCGTGATTTCTGAACTTAAATTTCTCTGATAGATTAATAGCTTTGGATATATGAATTACCTTTTTAACTATTGCTAAACCATCAGAGGGAAAAATGTGCTGAGGGCTGGATTGGGGTCCAGGAAGGTCATAAGGTTTGTTATAAAATAAAAGCTACAATTTTTACATCCTAATGCCTGAAACTGCATTATGCCAGAAATCCTCTCCCTGATTTCAGTGGAGTGGCTTGCCTGGCTTGCAGGAAGGTGGCTTATCTTAAGCTGCATTGTCTGTACACTTCAATAGAGCTTAAAAGAGAAAAATCTGAGAGAAGACAAAGAATTAAACAGTTGTGTCATTAAGCCTTCCACATTTGCAAATAGGGCTTTGGCTCAGCTTGACTTCCCAGTGGTAAGTACTTTGTTTGGTTTGGGTCATTTAGTTACTTATTAAAGCCCTCATAAAGCTTTTTCAGTATTTCTTCTTTTGTTAACTTCTGTCACACGAACTGTATTTAATGCTTTCTCTCTTCTCCCGTCCTATAGCCCTGCAATATTCAAAAGAGGTAAGTAGAAAGTGCAGTGATTTAATTATGAATCTGGAACAAAAAGTTTGCAGAACTCCTTTTTGACACACAAACAGTAATTTTCGTGCCACAAGATGAACATTTGTGAATCTGCCATTATATTTACACGTAACCAAACCTTTTCATCTTGGGGACCCTTTTCAGCTCAGCTCCACAATCATTTTTGTTGGGGATAATCTGTCATTTGAAAACCTAGCAAGTGGAAATTCGTCCACAATAACCCACCCACAGTCCAAAGCAGCTCTGTGGCTTTTTAAAATGTACTGAACAGGCTCCTGTTTGGAAATAAACAGTGCTTTAACCATTTCTGTGATGGGATTTGATAGGGTTTTATCTTTGTGACAGTGTCCACCCACTTTTTTCTATTTTTTTTTAAATTCATACAATTGAACACCAATTTGCTGGTACAAAAGTGAAGATAAAAGAATTAGCTCGTGCTTCAGTGATTCTTCATTAATAAATGCAGCAGTAATTGGCCTGTGAGGGATGTGACAAGCAGAGTGCTGAGAGATGCTTCACAGAGCAGCAACTATTGAGAAACTCATGACCCAACTGTCCCAGTGTCAGATCTGAAGGGAATAACCCCCCAAAATTGCTGCTACCTGGTGTTTCCTTTCATACCTGAGAGATGCCCCAACACAACCATTGGACTGTGTGTGAGACAAGCTAATTGTGTCTGGGAATGACAGATAATTGGTTAATTTTTACTTTGCTGTGGTGTTGCAGCCCAAGTGCCTGTCACTCACCTCATTCCAAAGAAGGGATTACCACCAGCCCTTCCTACAGGGGACACAAGGTAAGAGCTTTGGAGCATCACCCTGCCACTTTAAAAAGGACATTTTATGGTGTTTATTCTGTGATCTACGGCAAACAGAAAAAAAAAATCATACATGTAGGAAGTCTAAAAACGTTCCACGCTAGATATTTTAATTAAAATTTTTATTTATGATATTTTAGTCCATTTGAAATGTTGGGAGTAGCTCTAGGTTTAAAACAGGAAGGATTTTCTTTATCTCCATATTAAAAGGAAAAGGAGAAGGAACATTGTTGTTTTAACATTTTAAGTGCCTTTATGCCAAGTATGAATGAGGATCTCGGATTTTATTTTGTAATGAAACTTAATTCAGCCTAGTTAGGAAACCAATAACCATATTTCCTAATTGAGTTTATTAAAGTAATAAACACAGCTATTCCAGGAAATGAAAACATTTCAGGTTATGAAATACAGAGTTCTCTGAAGGAGATATTCAAGTGGGGGTAGCTGCCATTTCCCAAGTGAGCCTGTGCATTTTGGTATAAACCAGAGTCCTTTGTTTCTAAAGATGCTGGGTGTCATCCAGTCCCACTGGTGTCTGTCAGTGCCACAGGGTTCTCAGCATTTTTGAGGACACTCATCTGATTTATTTGGATGTTTAAGGCGGATTTAGAGGTCTAATTTTAAGCAATGAGATACTCCTCTGATTGTTTTAGGCCCTGACTTTCAAAGACAGCATCAGCTGCATTAAACCTGAAATGACAGAGCTGGAATTGATATTTAATAATGCACTAAACTCTCCTGAGGCTCCAGGGCAGGAGTGCCAGAGAACAACAGTCACTAAGAGAGTTTGTTATTTGTCAGGATCCCTGGATTTCTAGACAGTTAAGAAAGAGTAAAGTGGAAAACACAAAAATCAGCCTTTTGCCATCAAACTGGAATAGGAATGGTTGGGTTCTTTCGCAGCAGGTAAGAGGGCATGAACTTAGAATCACAAGATAGTTTGGGTTGGAAAGGACCTCAAAGTCCATCCAGTTCCACCCCCGGCCATGGGCAGGGACACCTTCCACGATCCCAAATTGGCCAATTCTTGATATTTCCTCCTTTTTTTTATTCTTTCTGCCTTTCCAGTAATTAAGTCATCAGAGTTGATGAAGTTGCTGTTTCTTCTTTTATAGGCATTTCACACAATTATTAAAAATATTACATTGCAATTAAAAGTGAACTATGTAGAGGCAAGTTCCTTGGTTATTGAAGAAGTTTGCATTCAGCAGAGGTCACTTTCACTCCTCTTTGAATACTTTGGGAGAGCTGCAGATGAGAGAGATGTGAGGTTTCCCACGGAAGCCACGGCGGCAGCTCCGGAGCCTTCCCCGGTGGTGCCGTTCCAGGTGGGTGATCTTTCACTTCTTGTCTCAGGAACTGGACTGGGCTTGACAACCTCCCATTCCCCAGGACCTACAGGAGCTGCAGTTAATTAATCTCCTCTTTTTTTTTTCAAAGGTAATTACTCTGGTTTGCAATCAAGGGTTTTTTTTTAATTTTAGTTTTTTTTTTTCCCCAAGAAGCTCCATTTCACCCCACTGCTGTGTCACCTGTGGTTTCACATGTGTGCTTGGCAGAGTTTCCATGTGGTCATGAACCTCCTATGATGCAGGACAGGAGCTCCATGTGCCTGGGCACCCCTGGGACCCATCACACCCACTAGGTGAGAATCCACCTGGAGTGCTGTGTCCAGCTCTGGGGCACCCGGCACAGGAAGGACAAGGGGAGATGGCTTCAAATTGAGAGATGGCAGGTTTAGATTGGATATTGTGAAGAAATTCTTCCCTGGGAGGGTGGGCAGGCCCTGGCACAGGTTGCCCAGAGAAGCTGTGGCTGCCCCTGGATCCCTGGAAGCATCCAAGGCCAGATTGGACGGGGCTTGGAACAACCTGGGCTGGTGGAAGGTGTCCCTGCCCATGGCAGGGGATGGCACTGGATGGGCTTTAAGGTCCCTTCCAACCCAAGCCATTCTGTTTGAGAAGAGGAAAAGGGAGTGGTCAGCTCTTGACACGAGGCAGCCAAATCTGTGCTGGCAATCAGGGCAGTACGAGAAACCTTTTCCATCTGCTCCGAGCAGAAGTGTTCAGCAGAGCTCTGGAGAACGTGGAACAAGGAGACTACCAGTTATTTCCAGAGTCCTGGTACAAGTCAATGTGTGGTTAGTGGCAATATTTAGAAATTCAGCCACTTTCTCTCCCCCTCCAGGCAGAGCAGATCAGTTGAGTGGCTGAAGAGGAGCACTCGGAGGGAGATGAGAGCAGAGGCAGTCACGAGGAGCAGGCACTTGGAGGAAGGCTTCTGAGATAGCTCCCAGGAAAAATTATCACTTATCAGCAGCTGCTGGATGACACAGCACTGCTGCCAAAGCAGCAGCCTGCAGCACCTGCTCTCTGCACACTGCTGTT